CATGAAAAAAGTCTCTGTTTATGTAGCTTTAAGTACACCACAAAATCCGTCCGTTTTTGGCTTTTTGAATGTTTGTTATTTGACTTTAACTTGAAAGGGGTGTTTCACTCAGATCTCATCTCTTAGGTCCACAGAGTAATACCAGGTGGTGTAGCAGCACAGGAAGGCTCTATCTTTGAAGGTGCTCAGGTGCTGTCAGTCAATGGCACTGCCCTGCAGAACTCCGCCCACTGGCAGGCTCTGTGTACATTGAGAAAAGCAAGAGGGCAGGGCATGGCGGTAGTTGTTCTTCAGAGCGGTAACAGCAGAAAGGAAGCCACTGAAAGACCAGGAATCACAGGTGAGTGATGGACAGGTGACAAAGAGATCCTGATCTGAAGGAAAACATTTTATTATACATATGCATGTGGTGGTCATAATGAATGTGAAAGCATTTGGAAATCAATCAACATTTAGGGAAGGTTTTAAGTTATTTGAAAATAATACAGATTAAGTTGCCTTACCTTGTATACATGTGAGATAAAAATGTGTGAAGAAAGCGGTCTCTTTTGCAATCTGATCTTGACACTTTGTGTGTGCATGCCCCCTACAGGCAGCAGAGTCCGTGTGATTCTGAACAAGTCCAGCTCTGATCTTGGCTTTAGTCTGGAAGGAGGGGTGGGATCCAGCTCGGGAGACAAACCCCTCACTGTACAAAAAATATTCCGTGGTAAGACCACTTTTTCTTTAAAAAAAAAACAAAAAAAACAATCCCACTCAACACAACTATGCAAGTAGTCTGTGAAATGAAACATTTTCCTATGATACCACCAATTACACAAGTAAGGTCAAACGGCTGCTTACCTCACACCTACTGGCATCCCTCCTGCACATTTCAGCACAAGAAGGCTATTTTTAGCTTGTGCTGAGTCTCATGCCAAGTCCCTCCATAACAATTAAGTCCACTTCTTGATTCCAGGTGGACCAGTCAATGAAGTGTTTCCTGGGGATGAGTTGTTGGAGGTGCAAGGTCAGAGTTTGGTGGGTATGATGCGTCTTGAGGCTTGGAGCCACATAAAGAAACTGCCCCCTGGTCCAGTGGAGGTCTTACTGCACCGTCCTCAGCAACCACGTTGAAGACCTCTACTTTCCTTCT